TGTCTGTTTTAGGCTTACGATCAGGGTTAGGTGCTTCTACACCCTTGTTAATCAGCTATCATTTCACACTGATTTTAGGAATAAATTATGGGTAGGGTTAGGTTTAAGGGTAGGGATTGGGTTTAGTCTATATTTTTGGACCGTAATGTTGATCCAGGATCAACAAAAGATGTTGATCCAGGAACATGTCTTACTTGGCAAAATCACGGCGACCCTGCAGTACCATGGTACTACCATGTTTTTCAGACATACCATGGTATTAGTCTTTTTTTTTTGTCTGAGGTTTTTATTTACATTTACCATAGTGGCACCATGGTATTCTTGGAAACACCTTGCAAATACCATGGTACACAAATTTCTGTACCATGGTATGTTTCAAAGTACCATGGTATTACCACTCAGTGACATTAGTGTACCATACTAACAACACCATAACATTTAGTAAGTAACACTTACAAAAAGTACCATGGTACTACTGTTTTTGTACATGCACCCTGATTTTAATAGCTTTTTACCATAGTAGTACCATGGTATTCTTGGAATCACCATTGTCAAACTTCAAAATTGATTGGTATTACCACCCAATGACCTTACTGTACCAAACTGCCAGCACAGTAAATTTTGTCAGTAACACTTTGTTATGTTTTTCAGTATTAGCATTTTTTGGACATTTACCATAGTAATATCATGGCATTTTTGTAAGAACCTAAATAATGTTACTTTCAATATCATTGTATATTTCTGTACCATAGTACTAACATCGTACCAAAAAAGTATTGTGTCAGTACCATGATACTTATGCTGTAATACTGAAATTCATGAATTTGGTCTTTACATGATGCACCAAGGTATACTTCCAGAACCAGCATGGTACTTTTTTTGTAAGCATATGCTGGTACCAACGCCAAACCAGCACTAACTAGCAAAAGTCTGGACTAGTATGGAAGTCCAGCAGGGTCGGAGGGTATTTCAGTGTTGTTCACTGTTTTTTTATATTATCTCACAGTACATTTTGCCCTCAGAACCTCAATGAAACAAATGGGCCTGACAGCATCTTACTGGTGTCATGTGATCTGTCTCAAACTGTCCTGCTCCAAATTGCCCAAGTTCTCTTTTGACAAGCCTGCCAATGTCTCTCACACCCTCTCTGCCAGTCTTACACCTTAGATTCAGGGCTCAGGTGCCTCTCAGAGAGCACAGACATTGCATAGAGAATCAAGAGACGTCATCTGATGTCCAGAGATTTCACATCCTCTGGAGGACACCTTTTTGGCAGACTGACATTTTCCTAATGGGACCGATATTTTTTGTAAGCATATGCTGGTACCAACGCCAAACCAGCACTAACTAGCAAAAGTCTGGACTAGTATGGAAGTCCAGCAGGGTCGGAGGGTATTTCAGTGTTGTTCACTGTTTTTTATATTATCTCACAGTACATTTTGCCCTCAGAACCTCAGTGAAACAAATGTTTCAGTGAAAAGACAGATGGGCCTGACAGCATCTTACTGGTGTCATGTGATCTGTCTCAAACTGTCCTGCTCCAAATTGCCCAAGTTCTCTTTTGACAAGCCTGCCAATGTCTCTCACACCCTCTCTGCCAGTCTTACACCTTAGATTCAGGGCTCAGGTGCCTCTCAGAGAGCACAGACATTGCATAGAGAATCAAGAGACGTCATCTGATGTCCAGAGATTTCACATCCTCTGGAGGACACCTTTTTGGCAGACTGACATTTTCCTAATGGGACCGATGAAGGAGGTGAATGAGGGTCAGACTGAATAAATGGTCCTGCCCAGATCTCAGACACATCTAGCAAATCCGTCTGTCCATGATCGTTAGGCCAAAGCTGGCTGCTGCTTTACTTTACCCATCAGACCCCTTCCACAGGACCCTGACTAGTACTAAATATCAACACAGATGAATGTTGCATATCAACCCTAAAGTGTCAGTGCTAAGTTTCCACTTGTATGGCTGTGTTTGGATTAGCATGCTAGCATACTAAATACTAGTATGCAAATTTGTGTACAGTTTCATATACTACTCATATACTGTTTTTAGTGATATACACTACCATTTAAAAATTCGAGGGTTGGAAAGATTTTTTGATGTCTCTTATATCAGGCTGCATTTATTTGATCAAAAAGTATTTACAATTTACAATAAATGTTTATTGTAAGAATCCTGAATGAAATGTATTATGGTTTACACAAATATATTAAGCAGCACAACAGGAATATATATATATATATATATATATATATATATATATATATATATATATATATTGACGGAATGATCCTGATGTTGTCCTCGTGGCACCTCTGGAGCTTCCTGCATCTCACCTTCCCTCCGTAGCCTCTGTCTCTTTGCCAACGTAGGTCCAAAGACATCTCTGAGATGCAAGTTCTAATAGGCTTACACGGACTAGTTTTATTTCCATTCGACCTTGATCTTTCGTAATGGCCTATCAGGTTCTTTGTATATTAATAAAACAGCGTTATTTCTCCAAAATCCCTTCTGCTAAATTCAGCAGCCATCCCTGGCTTCTTTGATATTCAGTATCAAGGCTGCATTATCTTGGTACACTGGATGTTCAGAAGGATTTCATGTGAGGATTCAGGAGGAAAGGGAAGGGGGAACGGGAACAGGAGATGCATCTGATCAACTCAAGTCTTTGCATAAATTAACATGAACCCTGGGAATTTTTTCTTTATTTATTTCCTCCCTTACCAGGTTTAATTAAGGTTCAAGCAATGTCTTTGGGATATTTGTCTGATGGAACACGAGCCCACCCTCCCGCTCTCCTACCGTTTCCAAATCCGGTCCATCTACTGGGATGCCTATTTGTGAACTCTTTCTACTGTCTTGAATTTCACGTCAGATTGCAGCAAACCAGAGCAGGGAAGAGAAGGTGAAGATAAAACGCAAGTCTTATCTTTTCACATATTTCACATACTGCGTGAAAAAAAAAAAGAATCTTCACAGGGAGAATGATTGTGTCTCCTTATGTTCACCGACACGTGGCATGCCGTACAGCACGATGCCTCCTAAATATTACTTTTTAGCGGCAAAGGGGCTGATCAAGAAGATTTTTCACGAATGTCATCAAAGCAGCAGGAAAAAACAACTGAGGAATATGTTTTCATTGTTCGGTCAGGTTATTTTTAGATGCGTTCTGCAGGAATATGAGTTAGTAGTATCGCTGGCACTTTGGATGAAAAGGCAAACATCATAGTCAGAGCGCACGTAACATCTCCTGGCAAACAAAATACAAAATAAAGAGGTAAACAGGGAAATTAACAGCGTACCTTAATTGCTTTAAACAAGTAACACTTCATCTTCTTCAATTAAGGATTCTTGGCTCATCTTATTATAGACTATTAGCACTGATTATTAGCGCATGCTTGATGACGGAGGAAATGGGCCGTGATGCAGGAAGTGTCACCGGTCGTAGAGTCGGATCTGATTATCGTGTCCAACACCCACCAACCCGTGGACTCCATTTAGACGAGTACTCGCAGGGCAGGCCATCGTGGAGGCCGTGCCATTTTTATTATTTAAATGCTGCCGAAACGCATCCCAATATTGTGGAATGAATAAAATATCCCAGGACGATTTTCCACTGGGTATTAGCTTAACATTTCCACTCCAGCGCTCCTCTCATTGTGAAACACTGGAACATCAGTCAGCAATCTGATAGGCTGCTTTCTGCTTGTCCATTTGTCTACTTAACCCATCCCATTCCCTGTCGCCGTTAAAACAATTTCCTCTCTGACATACCAGAATAAGTATTGATTGAGGGTTTGCATTACCGGAGGTTTGGGCCCTTCACTGCTGGACATTTTTATCATAGCTGTGTATGCCAACTGATCACTTTAAAGGGGTCATCGGATGCCCATTTTCCACACCCCTTTAACACATAGAACAACTAGTTTGAAATGTGCCATTTCTCTATGGACATTTATAAAAATGAATCAGCCGGGCTCACTTTTTTAGGTTAATCTTTGAAGTTTTACGATATTAAAATATGCACTCATGTAGATTTATATGGTGTACAGAAAGCATTATATATCCATCCCACTATTTGGGCAATAATCGTAATGATTTTAGAGATGTGTTCTGTTTGTCCACAGTCTAGAGAAAAAGTACCGCAGACACATAACTTGACAGAAGCATCTAGCATTGGTGACCGACTGACTGAACAAACATGCAAGTAATCTTACATTTTGTGGCTACTTGTTGAACATTGTTACCTAATTCATATTCATGAGCCAAGCTTATAAAGTTTAGAATATATTTATAATATATCCCTCCACTATCTGGTATAAATTGCTATAACATTAACAGGTTAAACTTTTTTGCTTAGGTCTATTCCGTGCATTAGCTGACTTACAAATTCCAGGACCATAAGCATTGAAATGGGCGAAAGTAAACATCTTCTTGATATGCAATTACATATGCATGTATGCATGCAATATTTATCAGAACAGTTAAAAAATTATATCCGATGAAACCTAAAGCATTGCCAAGTCTCAATGCCAAGACAGCGTGGAAGATCTTCAAGGCCTTGCAACTTCAGAGTGTCTTCATGAGACCCTAATTTATCAGTCCTACCAAGATGAAGGTATGGTGCATTCATATTTCATAAGGTTATGTGAAATGACCACCCTGGAAGATTGAGTTCGTTCTGCAGGCTTGGTCTACAGGCTAGCACATGTGCGCTGGACACAAAGATGTCCGAAAAGTGTCAGCTTTGCTCAATAATATGAATTATGTGATATCAAATTTATTTATTTGAATGTGATAAAACAATATAAAATTCCTAAAATATGAAGATTTGCTCCTTTATTGTGTTCTGATACCTTTCTCCCTCTCTTCTCCCATAATTTCCTGTAATTCCTTTACTCTTTCTCTCAATAAAATGACAGAAATAAGCGATTAAACCATAAAACAAGCAAAAGCTATCCATCAGTAACACAAACACTGTGTTGTGCATCATTACCTTGCTGGTATGTCGATATTGGAGATGGCGTAAAAGTACTTGAGCAGGTTGTCTCTTTGTACGTATGTTCCTCCGAGCGCCGGTCTCAGCAGCCGAAGCCGCAGGTTTGTGAAGGTGAAAAAGTCTCGGAGGCCTTTCATACTCTCCATGCGTGTGTATAAGTTGTCCATGTTTTGTAATTTTGTCCCAGCAAATATGGCAAAGCGTTCCCGGACCTCGAACCGCACATTCTTCTCATTCTTGGAACCGACCCAACGAGAGTATTGCTCGGTACATATGACTCTAGTAACGTTCGTGGCCGACAGATCCTGCACCCTCTTTGGTAACATCCCGAAGCCGTCCATGCAGTCATCGGCGTAGTACTGATAAGGCTGCCAGGTTCGTCCATAATTCAAGGACTTGTCCAGCACCATTATTGTGGGCCGTCCGTACTCAAATGTTATCTGGATGTCGTCTGTTAACTCCAGGCTTTTGTTCCAGGATAAGGATATGTTGGCCTGAAGAGGCTCAGGGAAACGACTCCATGTTACAGTCTGCCAGTACGTGATGAGTCCGGTTCGCTCACGGTCTTGGATCAGCTCTGGAGGATGGGCAAGTTCTTTGGTGGAGGCATCGCATTCGTCACTACACAGGTATGGGTTTTCCTACAGACAAAAGGATGATGAAAAGGTCAAATAAAGAGTGGTACAAAATTAAGGAAGGATAATGAAATAATAATAAAAAAGAAACATATATTAATTATTAAAATATATAGGGTCCGTTGCATGATTTTATAGTAAAACACTACCGTACAAAAGTTTGAGGTCAGTAAGACTTTTTTTTCAGAGAAAATAATATTTTTATTTGACAAGGTTGCATTAAATTCATCAAAAGTGACAATGAAGATGTTTATAGTGTTACAAACCATTTCTATTTCAAACAAATGCTGTTCTTTTGAACTTTCTATTCAAGAATCCTGCAAAAAAAATTGTATCACAGTTTCCACAAAAATATTAAGCAGCGCAACTGTTTTCAACATTGATGATAGGAAAAAAAAATTCAAATCAGCATTTTAGAATGATTTCAAAAGGATAATGTGACATCAGCTTTGCCATCACGGCGAATAAGTTATATTTTAAAAGACAATAGAAAATAGTTATTTTAAATTTGTAATATTTTTGATCAAATAAATGCAGCCTTGGTGAGCATAACATTTCAAAACATAAAAAAAAATCTTATTGACCAATCGGAAATATACAAAAAAATAAACATTTTAATATGTTGATTTTTAATGCAATATATATATTTAAAAAAACATTAAAATATATATCTCATCAATTTTTTAAAAGAGGTTTTTATAACTATTCATACAAAAAATTGTAATCAAATAAATGCATGAGACTTCTTTCAAAAACATTTTTTAAAAAGTCTTATTGACCAAATTGTAGCATATATAAATTAGAAACTTTTTTTTTTAAACATTCTTCTTTTTTTTCGTGTTTTATCTATCTGTCAGATCTATCTATCTGTCTAGATAACACCTTTCCAAAGTTCCCATCGCTACTGTAATTTCAGGGTTTGAACCTTTGCCCTAGTGACACACCAGGTGTACGGATTAGCCTACAGATTGCCATCTGGTCACCCTTGAACCCTTAATTCCCTTGTAAGTAAGGTAACATCCCGAAGCCGTCCATGCAGTCATCGGCGTAGTACTGATAAGGCTGCCAGGTTCGTCCATAATTCAGGGACTTGTCCAGCACCATTATTGTGGGCCGTCCGTACTCAAATGTTATCTGGATGTCGTCTGTTAACTCCAGGCTTTTGTTCCAGGATAAGGATATGTTGGCCTGAAGAGGCTCAGGGAAACGACTCCATGTTACAGTCTGCCAGTACGTGATGAGTCCGGTTCGCTCACGGTCTTGGATCAGCTCTGGAGGATGGGCAAGTTCTTTGGTGGAGGCATCGCATTCGTCACTACACAGGTATGGGTTTTCCTACAGACAAAAGGATGATGAAAAGGTCAAATAAAGAGTGGTACAAAATTAAGGAAGGATAACGAAATAATAATAAAAAAGAAACATATATTAATTATTAAAATATATAGGGTCCGTTGCATGATTTTATAGTAAAACACTACCGTACAAAAGTTTGAGGTCAGTAAGACTTTTTTTTCAGAGAAAATAATATTTTTATTTGACAAGGTTGCATTAAATTCATCAAAAGTGACAATGAAGATGTTTATAGTGTTACAAACCATTTCTATTTCAAACAAATGCTGTTCTTTTGAACTTTCTATTCAAGAATCCTGCAAAAAAAATTGTATCACAGTTTCCACAAAAATATTAAGCAGCGCAACTGTTTTCAACATTGAAGGGGCGCATTCCCTTCAGAAACAAACATAATGCACTGCGTCTTCAGCGGCTCCGATGTCGGGAGTAAATGACGACTGCTATGTTCATTATTACATCCAACAACAGAACACCTCAATCGCTTAGGAGTCATTCTTGTCTACATCTGCTCCGGCGGTGAAACAATGGCGGACTGATGACAGCTCACAATTCATCAAAAGTGACAATGAAGATGTTTATAGTGTTACAAACCATTTCTATTTCAAACAAATGCTGTTCTTTTGAACTTTCTATTCAAGAATCCTGCAAAAAAAATTGTATCACAGTTTCCACAAAAATATTAAGCAGCGCAACTGTTTTCAACATTGATGATAGGAAAAAAAAATTCAAATCAGCATTTTAGAATGATTTCAAAAGGATAATGTGACATCAGCTTTGCCATCACGGCGAATAAGTTATATTTTAAAAGACAATAGAAAATAGTTATTTTAAATTTGTAATATTTTTGATCAAATAAATGCAGCCTTGGTGAGCATAACATTTCAAAACATAAAAAAAAATCTTATTGACCAATCGGAAATATACAAAAAAATAAACATTTTAATATGTTGATTTTTAATGCAATATATATATTTAAAAAAACATTAAAATATATATCTCATCAATTTTTTAAAAGAGGTTTTTATAACTATTCATACAAAAAATTGTAATCAAATAAATGCATGAGACTTCTTTCAAAAACATTTTTTAAAAAGTCTTATTGACCAAATTGTAGCATATATAAATTAGAAACTTTTTTTTTTAAACATTCTTCTTTTTTTTCGTGTTTTATCTATCTGTCAGATCTATCTATCTGTCTAGATAACACCTTTCCAAAGTTCCCATCGCTACTGTAATTTCAGGGTTTGAACCTTTGCCCTAGTGACACACCAGGTGTACGGATTAGCCTACAGATTGCCATCTGGTCACCCTTGAACCCTTAATTCCCTTGTAAGTAAGCAACAGCCATCCCACACAACAAACGTTTGAGGAGTTAAAAGTCTCCGCACACACTGCAGCCTCCAAAAATGACAGATCCATGTCCAGGGATAGTTATTGTTTTATAGCCGGCACACTTGAATGTTTCTCGGGCCAAGTGTCTTCATGGACCATTAGCTTCCATTAAGAAATAATTCGAGCTACCTGTCCCAACCATCTGGAGTACCTTAGCACTTTGATCCATAACCAGGAAGCACCTTAGCCTATCTCAGCCCTCTGACTCAATCCTGCTGTATTTCTCTGTATCGTACAAATCCAGTCCAACTGCTGCGGCAGGTGGTTCTTAGACTAAACCTCAGCTATCCTCGCAGGAATGCCCTCATGTCTAAAGAGCAGTGTGGCTCTAAGAGAAATGTTCGCCCACTGCTTAGCAGCAGGAACCCGTGTCAGTAAACAGACAATACGATGGTTTGGTCTCCATGTTTGGTCGACATGTGTGGTTGTGTTGTCACTGGAGAATTCACAGCAGAGCTTGAAACAATGACTAATCATTACTGTGATCAGATCAGAACAATTACACAATTTATTGAGAAAAAAACACATGGTGAATACATACGAATGGATTCAGGGGTCAAAGTTAAAAACTGCTTAATCTAGATTAATCTAGAATGGCTGTGAATTTGACTAATATTTCATTATAAATTATTCAGTTAAATAATAATTATTTATTTCAATAAAATAATATCAAAACTGATATCAAAACTGTTTGTGATGGCTTAATTACATTCCATATTAAAATATGTATTAATATATTTTAAAATATTTTAGTAAACAGATTCAATTATTAATTATTCAGTTATATAATATTTATTTTAATAACTTCTATTATCAAAGCAGTTTGTAATGTCTGAATTACTTTTGAAATTAAAATATTTGTATTTATTTATATATATATATATATATATGTGTGTGTGTGTGTGTGTGTGTGTGTGTGTGTGTGTAAATGGATTGCTATGCAATGTACTAATATTTAATATTATTATTTAAATAACTTCTGATGTCAAAGGTGTTTAATAAATATTTTATTTATATATATATATATATATATATATATACACACACATTGCTATTTGCGCTGCTGGTTAGATGCTAACTAGCTAACTATGGCTCTGTACTAGTTCTCTGCACAAAGTTTAATCTAAATTGACACTGGAGACATTGGAGCGCAACAATTAATTTACCAAATTTGTGGTCTTAATGCAAATATATATATATATATATATTATTTAACTAAAATATTTAAATAACTTCTGATATCAAAGGTGTTTGCGATGGCTGAATTACTTTTGATGTTTAAATATTGCTATTTTTATATTTGTAAATTGGCTGCCATGAACTTTACTAACATTTAGTTTTTAATTAATCAATTAAATAATGTTTAATTTAAATGTTTAAATATTTGGCTCAAATACTTAAAGTTAAAATGTGTTCTCAAAACCAAAAACAAAGATTGTAATGTGCTGTGTTTTTTGAGGACAGGCTGTAAAGCACAAGCACCAGCATCCTGAAACAGCAGTGAAGTTTTTCCAGGACCCTGTGATTTCTTTTGACTTTAGTTGAATGAACACACCTTTCAATGGGATTTCCCGACCTGTCTGTATGAGTCAGTTTGTATAGTTAACAGTACCAAGGAGAATCCACATTGCACTGAGGATCTGTTTATAGGGGCTGACCGAGAAAGAAAGATGGATGTGTGTTCTTAAAATAAACAAGATGAATCAGGAGATTTTGTTAACAAAAATGGGACTCAAATAGAAAATGTTACAATGTTTCATAAGAGCAGTCACTCTGGTAGTATGAAATGTTCTGACCCCGGTTAACAAGCTGTGAAGAGCAGGTACTACACTCGTGGAGACCGGACCGACCGCTAGTCTTGTACCTGGAGAGGTGGCCCTCTTTTTTCTGTGGCGTGAGTTAATTACAATGAAGCCAGCTCCCTCTGGACATCCAGTCATATAACAGCTGGCGCTGAACAGCTTCAGAGGGATACAGTCGCCTAATTATACCAGCCAGAAAGTGACTTGCACAAGAGTTTCAACTGTCCCAGAGAGTGCCAGAACAGGGCTTTAATATGCAAATATATTATCACACCATTTTTAGCTTATTTAGTCAACTTAGTAATGTTTCTGATGTTTAATGGATTTGGAGTGCCTTTCAAATGCATTTCAGATGTGTTTTCAGACTGTTTTTATGCTTGGTTTGATCACTGAATGAGAGTTTGATTTCTATGGAAACTTATTTCTGCCATGGAATTTAAAAATATATATTTTTATCTCACG